TGGGAGCAGGGTGACACAGCTGCAGGGAGCAGGGTGATGGGCTTTGGGAGCAGGGTGCTGAACTTTGGGAGCAGGGTGACACAGCTGCAGGGAGCTGGATGCTGGGCTTTGGGAGCAGGGTGATGGACTGCAGGGAGCTGGGTGAAGGGCTGCAGAAGGCAGGGGGTCACATTAATAAAAAGCAGGGTGACAGTTCTAGGGAGCTGTGTGCCACCTCTGTAGGGAGCTGAGTGACAAGAGCAAGACAGGGTGACAAGAAAGCAGGGTGACACATCTACAGGGAACAGTGTCACACAGCTGTAGGGAACAGGGTGCTATGGCTGTATGGGGGGCACATGCTATCGCAGGATTTCTTCCTGTGATAAAAAGAGGTGCAGGGCTGCTCCCCTGAACACCCTCCTGACCATCTCCTAAAAGTAAAGAGTCCCTGGAGATCAGGGCCAGGGCCAGGATGGGAACACAGGGTCCCTCGAGGGAGTGTGACTGTCCCGTGTCTGCCTGTCCCTCCTGGGGCCAGGGGGACAGGGACTGACAGTAAAACCCAAGCTGTGAGCAGGACTTGAACCCATGCAGTGGAACCCCTTTGGATTTCAAGTCCAATAGCTTCACCACTTGGCCATCACAACAGCTTGCCCAGTTTGTGTTTGCAGGAGCCCCTGGCTGTAACCCTGCCCAGGGGCACAGCAGGACCTAGTCCCATCCTGGACGTGGATTCTGCCATCCCTGCTTCACATCCAGCTCGGGGACTGCTGTTTGTGCTACCACCTGTCCTGCACAAAACATCCCAGCAGTGCTGGGAACAAGAGCTAGGCACCAGCCACAACATCAGTGCTGATGACATGAGGGATGGACATGGTGGGAAGTCTGTGTCCTGTCTTGTCTCCTTGTATCCAACAGTAAACTTGTCCTAAAACAACTGTCCCCAGTCTCCTTTTCTAGTCTGGAAATATCCCAGCTTTCTCCATCCCCTCTTCCCACAATATCCCTATTTTTGCCTCTGTGACAGCAAGGCATGGCTCTTGGAGGCAGCCTGAGCCATGGACCTGGCAGGTTCTGTCCTGCAGCTGGGAGGAGATGTTCCAGGATCGTGTGGTTCTCACCGGGTTGCTGCCTGCATTTGGGCTTTTGGAACAGGAGATTTGGAGAAAGAATGAAAAGGTGGCTGTTGGGAGGAAATCCTTGCTGAGCAAGGTCTGGTAGTGACTTGGCCTCTCCTTTGGAGCATAAATCCAATTTGGAGGGCAGTCCTAGAAGCACTGTCCTTGGTTTTGGTGGGAGCTGTCTCATTCTGAGACATCCAAAGCCCTCTCTGGTTCCTGGAGTTGTGTCCAAGAGCTGTGCAAGAGCTTCCCTATGACACTGGCACTCCATGCCCCTCCCATGAGGATTTGTCATCAGGGTCTGGATTTATCAGCAAATGGGGTCTGGAGTGGTCCACCGTGATATCAAAAGGATGGGAGGCTGCAGACTGCAGTGGAAGGACCTGGAGAGGATCAGAGTGGGAGCAGAGGGACCTGGAGAGCAGTGGCACCCTAACAGAGGAGGGTGGAGGGGACTAGACCTGAAAAAAAAGAAGTCTGAGGGGGTTAAGGAGCTTGAAAGGTGTGGTCTGGAGAGCTCCAACAGAAGTGTCTGGAGGAGACTGGAGAACACCATATCCCCCAATTGTTTTTGCAACCTGGCTGGACTCACTTTCATTGCACTGGTCGGAATTGTCCCAATATTCCTCTGATTCTTTCATCTTGTTGGCTTTTTTCCTTATCTAATCTTGCGTCGTTGGCAGTGAATAGCTATTTTCATCTACATTTCTTGTCATATTTACAGACAAAACAATCTTGCCTGGTTAAAAGAACAAGATGTGTTTACGGAAAAGTCTGAGTTCAACAGAGAGCTGACAGCTCTTCTCTTGTAACAAATGGCACTTTGCAGTATTACGCAATAGAGAAAACCACAAGGTGTGTCATGAGGCAGAGCTTCTAAATCAAGGAAATGTTCAGATTCTCGTTTTCACCCTTTAATCTTCCAAGTTGCAGAAAACAGTGACAGTCCTGCCCGAGCACGGACTTTGCTGGACCCAGCACACAGCTCTCACCATTCCTGAGGAGAGGGAATGGCCCCAAGTTGTGCCAGGGGAGGTTTAGGTTGGGTATTAGGAAAAATTCCTTCACTGAAAGGAATTCCTTCACTGAAAGGGTGGTCAGGCACTAGAACAAGTTGCCCAGGGCAGTGGTAGAATCACCATCCCTGGAATTGCTCAAAAAACATGGAGATGTGGCACTTGGGGGCATGGGTTAGTGGTGGCCTTGGCAATGCTTGGGGAATGGTTGGATTCAATTGTCTTAAAGGGCTTTTCCAACCTAAATGATTTTGTGATTCCTTTATTCACTGTTCCCTCCCATCACTTGATGCAGTGTTAAAGACACTGCTCTCACCATAACCCAGCATGGTTTATGTCACTGGTTGCAATGTGAGGGCACAGGATGATCCACAAGAGCCTTGGAATACCAGGGAACCCCTGCAAGCTCTGTGCATACAGACCTTACTTCACAGGGTTAAGCATTGAATCAAGTCACAAAATCTGTGATCCTTTTTTGCTTCTATTCACATATTCAGCCTCTTAAGAATTTAAGATGCAGTCCAGGAAAAATTGTCCATGGCAGTGAATGACTACCCTATCTCTCAGCTATGGGGCACAATGAAAACTGCAGTGGGATCTAAAACTTCTTCCATTCTCTTTGCTTAAATAAATCTCTGGAGTGTTTGAAGCTGTGTGTTCTCCTAGTGGCTTTCCAGGGGCCTGAGAACTGCTTCTGCTGTGTCCCATATTTCCAGGTAAGATGGGAACTGATTCCAGAGCAGGAAGATACATGGAAAATGGAGAAACCATCCTCCTGCATTCTGTCTTCTAGTCCTGCCGGCCCCATGTCCAGTGGAGCCATCTCCCACTTTCCTGCCTAAGCATGGGTTCACAGTCTGGAAGAGAATGGAAGGGATGGAAGAAAGGTTTACTAAAGGATGGGGCAGGAAGAGGTTTGGTTCATGAGGGGGAGCTGAAGATTTTATTCAGGGAGTTTGATCCATGGGAAGGGAAATAAAGCTGCAGCCCCTGGGGAAGGATTGTTGTTCTCCCAGAAGTGTTCCAGCTGCTGCTCAGGTCTGGAGTCCCATTTAAGCCTGGCAAGATGAGCATTTTCTGTGGATAGATGTGCAGTAGCTTGTCCTGGTGTGTGTGGTGGGTCCTACGACTGTGCTGGAAAGTCACAGATGCCTCTCCATGGCTTTCCAGCCCTGGGCACTGTGCCTGCTGCTTGGGGGAGGTCTGGAAGGATCCACCAAGCAGCCTGTCCTCACTAGTGTCTCCCCAGCCTCTTGGGCTCACCTGGAGCACCTCTCATGGCTATGTAACCCTAAGTAACTCCATGGCAGGTGGGGAGATGCACCAAGGAGGCTTCATAGCCTTGGGTGTTGAGTCTTTAAAGGAGAGCTTCCAAAAGAGATGATAATGTCACTCCTGGGCATTGCACAGCTTGAGAGAGACACCCCTGAACACCTCAGTGATCCTGTGGTGCCACCTCCTGAACATCCCTTGTTGTTGCTGTCACTTATCCATAAAGAGTTAAAGTTCTCTTTTAGTGTTGCAGCCTTTCTATTTTTAAAGCTAGACAATCTGGTTTTATTAAATGTCACCCCTGTGCTGCTGGGAAGTTTTCCTCCTCTACTTGCCCTACAATTTCTGTGCTGTAACCTATTACTTCTCACTTTTATCTGTTTCATCTTGCTCACTCCATCCTTTTATAAGCTCTGCCCTTCATATATTGGAGGAGAAGATGCACTGGATACAGTTCTGTAAACTTGTGTCCTGGACAAGGACAGATTGGCTTGTACAGGCTATTGGCTCTTAGTTTGTAAATAAGTCCACAGTTTGAAATATAGGAAAAATACACCACTGGCAGGTGAAGAGAAAACTTTGTATGTTTGAAGTTGTACCCGAATTAAGTCCTTAATCATTATTGACATCATGGTTCACACCTGGGATTTAAATGTCTCTCTGTCATCCAAGGCCAGGTTAAATGGGGCTTGGAGCAATCTGGTCTAGTGGAAAGTGTACCTGCCCATGGGATGGGGTGGAATGAGATGACCTTTAAGGTCCCTTCCAACCCAAACCAGTCTGGGATTCTGTGATTCTATGATTTCTATGAAAACAAAGCTGAAGGAGCTTGCAGGAATGTCAGAGGTGTCAAATGAGGAAGGGAAGGATGTCGCCTTTTGCCATTAAGATGGGAAATAGGAATGCAATAATAAGCTCTTTCTTTTGTTTGTGTTGCTGGAGTTTAATGACCTTGTTCCTACAGCTGCTTTTTAGCAAACACCTTCAGTGGTTTACATAGCTCCGGGTTTATACTGGGATTTAGGGGTGAAGATCTGCAGCCTGAACAGGACCAAGAAGTAATGTTAGCAATACCAAGAGCCTGAGAGAAAAGAAATCTGCATCTTCTCAAGATAGAGATCTGCTGGTTGGTCAGATAACTAATGGATAATTATTGTTCTGGCTGCCTGGATATCTTATACACTGCTGAATGTACATTGGCCTTGGTGAGCAGGATACCCTGAGTTCTCTGGAGGCTCCAGAGATTGCACTGGAACACCACAAATCCCAGCTGGAGGTGACAATGGACTGCTTGCCTGACATGTGAAAGCCTTGGGAACTGCACTTAGACTCCAGAAATGGACATGACATGAAATGTGAAGGCAACTTTTGCTTGCCAGGGCACTGGAGCCATGGGAGCAGCATGGGACCACCTGCCCACAAGGACGTAGGTGTGTCCTGGAGGGTGGACAGTGTCCCTGGCCAAGGGCAGTGGGGGTCACCAGCCTGCCAGTGAGATGTAAAGGAAAATTCCTTGTCTGACCTGGCAATTCCCTGTCTCCAGCCTGGCAGTCCCACTAGCACTGGCCCAGCTGGCACTGAGGTCCCTTCCCAGCAGTGGCACCAGCGACCCCACTAGACTCCCCACACCCCTCACACTCCCCCAGTCAGACCAGGTTTCCTCACCAGCCTGACCCCAGGTTTCCCACAGCAGAATCACAGATGTCTGGGTGCTCAAAATAATTTAATCTTCGTGTAACAAAAGAATAACAGCTAGCTTGAGTTGGTGCCTCTGAGCAGGGATCCAAACAAAGGAAGCCCTGGGCTTTTATACCCCCACAGTCCAAGCACAGGAAATTCTGAAGTCATCAGCTCCTGCCAGGTGTCTGAATGTCCCTGGCTGTGCACAGGTCCCTGTTCCCCTTTGCTGGGAAGGGGCCTTGGTCCCAGCTCAGGTGGTGCCACTGGGACTGCCAGGGTGGCTCCAGAGGTTCGGGCAGGGAAGTTTCCTTAAGAGTCACTAGTGGCAAAGATACTTGTCACAAACACATAAAAAAGTAGCAAAGCCACCCAGCAGGTACCTGGACTTCTGCCTATGCACGGTTTGCAAGGAAAACTGGATAGATAAGGTAGAGCACCTGGCAGGGTGATCAGAGTCACTCTGGTGCTGGGGGCCACCTTCTTCTTTGGCTTCAAACTTCTCTTTAGGGGAGAAATATTGACTTTGCATTTTCAGTTTCTGAAAACCTGACCTTCATA